CTTCCACCCACACTGGCTGCCCGAGAGCACGGCGTCATTGCCTCATCTCTGAGGAAGGGCCCTGGTCGGGCTTGTGGCCACTGCTGGTCTCGGACGCCATCGGGCTGGCCCTGAGGGCACAGCAGGTGTCTGCCAGCAGACACACCAGTCACTGTGCTGCCTCGTCGGGGCGTCATCTCTGACAGAGGGTGTCAGGTGAGCCCCAGAGAAGGCAGGGAGGGGTGACCAGGTTCCCTCCGTGCACCAGGCGGCCATGCCACAGTGGCGGCTGGCATGATCTCCACTCCCGTCAGCCCTGACCCGTTGTGCCGGCTGAGCCTCGGCTTCTCCGTGATGTCGTGTTGGGTTTTTAGCATGCAGGTGCAGGCCCCCCACCATAGCCAGACCCAGGGTTCCGAGGCAGGCTGGGCCCTTTATCCGCAGTGACCTGATACACAGGTGGTGAGCCCCACCAGCCGGGACCCTGGCCCAGCTCTGTGCCTGACAGCTGGGGAATGTTCAGGAGCGTCACTGCCTCAGAGCCACTGCCAACTTTCGGGCTAGGGCCCACGCTGGGGCCCTCAGGGCTGGTCCAGGCCTTTCAGCGCCGAGCACCGCGACAGGGTGTACGTCTGCCCCGGGGGGCTCACTGGAGCTTCCAGCCCACCGCTGTTTTCCCCTCGAGGTGGGAGCCCTCCTGCTGACATTTGGCCTCCATACTTCAGCTCCCCGCCTAAGTGGCCCCTCATTTGGGGTGACTACTCACCTGCCAGCAAGTCCTACCCTGTAGGAGGGAGCCAGGAGACCACCCCAAGCCCCCAACCCTACCTGGTCACCCCACAGCCCACCCTTCCCAAGGGTGGACCCTGGCTGCCTGGGAAAGAGGTAGCTGTGGGGCAGGCTGGGGTGCACCTCCCCAGCACCAGCCCCAGGAGCTCCTTGGTGCTGGAAGTCCCGTCGCTTCTCTCCATGGGCCCTCGTGCCCCTGCACACCCAGGCCTTCTCCGTCCTCCAGACCTACCTCCACATCTTCCCTCTGCCATGTGGGAACCTTGGCCCAAAATAACCACCTGCTCCCACCCCCGTAGCATCTGCTTAAACCATACCCTCCTAGGGCTCTGCTTCCTTCTACCTTTGACCTGCTTAAAGAATGCGTGATCCATGGCACCCGATGCACGCGTTTATGTACACACACCCAACACGTATGTGCAGTACACAGCACACACGTACACACATACCAAATACACACACTTCACCAAATACATGTGTGCACATGTACACAGCACACGTACCACGCACACGGATGCACCACACATGTACACACACCACACATGCTGCACACATACACACATACCAAATACACACCCCGATGCTTCACCAAATACACACTTCACCATATACACCCGTGCACACGCAACCACACACTTCACCAGATACATGCATGCACTTGTACACGGCACACACGCCACACACACATATGCACCACACACATGTACACATACCACACATGCTGCACACATACACATACCAAATACACACACACACTTTACCAAATACGCACATGCATGCGGCACACATGCCACATGCACATATGCACCACATACATGTGCACACACCACACGAGCACACACATGTATACCACACCCTGCACACCATACCCAGCACACACCACATGCACACACACCTCATAATATATGCACATAGCACACGTGCACGTACACACCGTACATATGTACACACACACTAGCACAAGTACACAGCACACACCACACCACAAACATATCACACAGGTGCACACACATTGACACCAGGTACACACAACACACATTCACACACCACACGTGTACATACACTCAATGGGAACAGTTCTGGAGCAGTACTGCCCTTGTTATGTGTGTTGCAGGCCGTACACTTTTCTGTTCCTTTTATTTAAAAACCATTTACGTGTGGGCACTCGGGTTGGTTCCATGACCCTCTAGTGGGTCAGCAGCAGCTTGGTAAACGCTCTCCGGGTTGATGCCAGAGTCCCTGTTCACCCAGCCTGGCGGACGCTCCCCCACTGAGCTCCGGGAGTGACTGTGTTTGTCCACATGAGTGTCAGGGCCCTGGGTGGTGCAGGGGGCCCCTGGCTCGGTGTGACCTGGCAGGAGCCGGAGGCCTCGCTGAGCCTGTTCTGCATTTGTGAAGTGGGTGCAGTCGTCCCATTCCTGGGACCCTATGCACGAAGCACATCCTCCCTCAGCCCCATATGTGCTAGGCCAGCATGCAGGGCTGGGGTGTGTGCTGAGTCAGGGCCCTGTGCCCAACTCTGTGGTCTGATCCCCTTCCCGTGTGTGCTGGGGCAGCGTGCAGGGCTGGGGTGTGCGCTGAGTCAGGCCCCCCGACACATGTGCCGGGCAGCATGCAGGGCCGGCGTGTTCTCTGGGTCTGGTCCCAATAGGACCAGGGCTGTGTGTCTTGAGCTAGGACCATGGTGGGTCAGACCTCCACCATGTGCGGTGTGTGGGCACGTTCGCAGACCCTGGAGACGGGTTGAGGTTGTATAGCTTTCCTTTCACGTTTCGGGGAGGGCAAGCAGACAGACGCGGTGTCCCACCCCGCTGGCCAGTGCGTGAGGGCAGGACATGGGAGCCGTGCCCACCATCCGTCAGCCCCGCAGTTGTCAGACCTCTCAGCAGGCGTGCCTGCACGTTAGTGGTTTGTATGGTTTCATCTCCTGTTCTCTCCCAGGCTGGATCTAAGAGTCCTTGTTTCTCCTCAGTGAACACCAGAGCTCTGGGAGTTGTATCCCCAGGGAGCGGCTCACGGAGACCCCGTCCCTTCTCAGGCAGAGCCGGGTGGGGGTGTCGGGCTCCCTCCTGTGGCTCCGCTGGACGTCGCCTGCCTCCACCACCCACCCGGTGACCAGCTTCTCCATCTGCATCTCCTGAGAGGACCCAGGTGTTCCTCCCCTGGTCTCCCAGGCTCTGGGCAGCAGGCCCTGGGACCCCGGGCGACCTTGTCTCCCAGGGTGTGGACAGTCAGCCGACCAAGGACGCTGAACCAGCACAGAGGCTGCCCCCTCTCTCCATTTCTCTGAGGCCCCCAGGGCAGAGATGAGAGTGTGGAACTCGTGTGGTTAAATCTGGGAAGTAAACACCAGCCGCGGGAGGAGTCGGGCTGTGACAGCGTAGATAAGGGGAGTCAGAGCCAGAGTGGTTTCTTCCCTGGAGGAGAGGGGAGGGGAGGGGAGGGGAGAGTCAGCACTGGACCTGGAGGGCGGGCGCATCCCGTGCGTGGTTCTGCGTCCACCTAGCTGTGCCCCACCCTGAGTAGGAGCCTGGGCCCAGAGGCTGATGCTGGTACCCCAGCCCTGGGCAGAATTGTGGGAAGGTGTTGGTGCAGCATGGCTCACTGTCTGCTCGAGATACTCTTGTTGCCATGAGACAGCAGACACTGTGCTGGTAGAAACCGCCTTCCCCTCCCCCTGAGCCCACGGGGCTGCGCGCGGTGGACAGAGGCACCCTCTCTGCTGACCTTGGAGGTGACAGTGGCCGCCAGCTGGCAGGACAGCTGTATCTGCAGGCTTTCCCAGCTATCAGTGCTGGGCGGGTTCATTGACTGCCACAGGCACCCAGCGGCTGTACCTCCAGGGGACAGCTGGGTGCAGCGAGTGTGGACATAGGGCCCCTGAGGGGAAGGGGTTCTGAAGTGGAACAGGTGAGGCCACAGGGCCCCTGTCCTTAGGGGGAGGGTGTAGGTGCAGGGCCCTGCCTGCAGGAGGGGAGACGAGGAGGGGAAGGGGTGAGGCCACAGGGCCCCTGCCCACAGGAAGGGAGGTGCTGAGGGGGGAGGGGTGCGAGTCCAGGGCTCCCAGACTGTCAGACCCAGGCAGGGAGGGGTGCTTGACCACAGTCCCTGAGACGCCTGGGGAGGGACAGGATCCCAGGGTCCAGCAGGGCCTTGAGGGTCAGGGTCAGGAGAACGAGTGTTCTTACGAGTGGGTGGGGCCGCTGGGGTCCTAACCTGGGGAGTGGCGTGATGTGCTGTGACAGTTCACGGTTACAGAAAGACCCTCTGGCCGCGTGGAGAGCGGCTCATGGGGCAGCGGGAGGCCCTATGGGGCTGTGGCTCGTGCAGGTGGGGTAGGAGGTGGTCAGCTCTCGAGCTGTGGGAAGCGGGGGGCGGGGCGAGAGGCGCAGACGGATCAAGGGGCATCTCTGTTCCTGGCCGGGGCTGCCTGGTGGACGGTGTGGTGTTGCCTGAGGAGTGTCTGGGGAGGCGTCTGGGGACTTCAAGCTTTGTCCTGGATGGTGGGGTGGGAGAGCTGGGGGGCCGGGCTGGGGGTGAGGTCAGGGGGTGGGGGTTGGCGGATCCTGTGGCCCCGCAGCCCCGGCCAGCCAGACAGTAACCAGCGCCAGCCCTGTCCTCAGTGTCCACGGGCGCTGATGGCCGGGAGCCCTCATCCTCAAACCTCCAGGCTCAGACCTGGCCCCTGACTGCAGCTCTGCCCTACACTCTTAGGTGCCCCATGCTGGTGCTGGCAAGGGCGACCTGGTCACAGGCTCCAGCTGTTCTTTACCATCACCTTTGATCTCTGACTTGCATTTCAAGCCTCAGAGGTCACCTCCTCCAGGAAGCTCCCCAGCCTGGGTGGGTGTCTCCCAGGGCCCGCCTGGCCCCTAGGTGTGCTGGGAGGGCCGGGCTCTGCCTCCAGGGATGGCGTGGGTGGTGCTCAGGCAGCCCTGCCGGCTGAGTAATGAGGGGCTGGTCCGCAGCCCTGTGCAGGGCTGTCAGGAAGCGGACAGGAACGTATCCTCTCTACAGGCCTGGAGGCAGAGATCTGACATTGGGGTTGTTGGCTGGCTCCTCCCAAGGCTCCGCAGGGGTCCGTTCCCCCCCACCCCAGCTTCTGGTGTCCCTGCAGCCCTTGGCGTCAGGGCTTGTGGACGGGGCGGGTCCCTGCCTCCCTCATCACACGGCCATCTCCCCTGTCTGTCTGTGTCTGTATGTCTTCTGCTCCCCTTACGAGGGCATCAGTCATGGGGTCGGGGTCCAAGCAGTCCCAGTGTGAGCTCGTGTTCGCTGATGACATCTGCAGTTCCCAAAGGGGTCCCGTGCACAGGGGCCGGGCATCAGGACTGAGTTGGTCTTCACGGGGCAGTGAGGGCTTGAGTGTGATGTCCATCTCTCTGTTACAGAGCTTGTGGAGGAGGACGTGGAGCTCCCCTTCGAGGAGGTCCTGGAGAAAGCCAAGGCTGGGGACCCCAAGGCGCAGACAGAGGTGAGGACCACCATTCCTGGGGGGCGGGGGAGACGGTGCCTCGGGGGCCCAGCGAGTGGCACCCGGCTGCACACCTGTCACAGCACTCCGCACTCAGTGTCCACACTCTCCCCGCAGTGTGGGTCTCACCCGGTGTGGGGGGCACCAGGCCAGTCCCCAGGTGTGGACAGATAGGGGGAGCAATAGGGAAAACCCCCGAGTCCTGGTTGGGGGGCCAGCAGGGTGCAGAGCTGACAGCAGAAGACCTGGTGTCCTGCTGGCTCGGTGCCTTGTGTTCCATGTGTGCCCATTCTTGCTCCCCCACCCCAGCACAGGGCAGGGGCCAGTGTCCTTGTGATCTCGTGCCTGTGCCGGGCACCCCCAGGAGGCTCAGTCAACACCTGTAGGACAGACAAGGGCGGGAGAGACCCCACGGGCGCTCTCAGCCCCACAGGCCCCTAGCTGCAGACACGGCCCCGAGCACGGTGCAGGCGGGTGTCTGCTGCATTCCTGTTGGAAGGGTTCTGGGACAGTGGAGCTAGGACGGGCCGCAGGGTCCGGCCCCTGGTCGTACAAACGAGACACTCTGCATCCAGCTCTCTGGACTCAGACCCCTGACCACCCTGGTGGGGTGTCACGTGCCCACTTCCCAGAGAGGCCCAGTGGCCACAGTCACACGGACACGACTGGAGCTCCAGCGGACGTGACCTGAACGGCCGCTTCCCACTGCCACCCTCGCCCCATGTGTGGCTCCAGCCGGGGCCTGGCGTCCTCAGAGCTGTTCCCGCCACGCTCACCCACACTCGGCGTCCCCCTCCTCCCCACACCCACACTGCACTGCAGAGGCGCCACCAGACCGGGCGCCCCAGGTGGGGGCAGAGCCGGGGCAGCGCTGGCCCTGGGCCTCAGTTTCTCCATCCGTAGAGGGCGTGGGACTAGGTCAGGGGCTGCAGAGAGCCCGGGTTTCAGCTCCAGCCCTGTGGGCACCACAAGGACTCAGCTGTGCTGTGTGGAACAGTGTGGGCAGGGCATACACGGGGGGGTGTGGCTGTGTGCTGGACCTGGGGGTCTCTCTAACCCCAACTTCTTGTGGCCCCCAAGTACTCTGAGGGTAAGTAGACCAAACCACCGTGCTGAGTTTCCATCCACTGATGGGCGGATGGGCCTCCAGGCATCTGGCCCTGGGGGTAGGGGGATCCCAGGAAGGAAACGTGTGCGTGGCGGGCCGGCCCCTCTGTGCTGCTGGTGCTGCTTTGGGGAGCGGTGTTGGAGCCAGTGCCAACCGAGTGCGGGACCCTCTACCTCTGCAGCTGGCCCAGAGGACAGAGTGGCTGAGGGAAGGGGCTGGCTGCAGGACGGGGCTGGGGGGCCCAGCTGGGGAGTGGGTCGGGTGGGCAGTGAGCCTGTGTGGAGGGCATCATGGCATCTGGTGGGGGGGGGACCAGGCTGAGTAAGCCCAGGCAGGCAGGGAACCTCTGTCCCAGTGTGCTCCCCGCAGGAGGGCGGGCGCTGCCCGCGGAGTGCTCCCCGCAGGAGGGCGGTGCTACCCGCGGGGTGCTCCCCGCAGGTGGGGAGGCGCTACCTGCAGCTGGCCAGCGAGGTGGACGAGGAGCTCAACAACTGCACGGCCGTGGGCTGGCTGGTCCTCGCAGCGAAGCAGGGCCGGCGCGAGGCTGTCCGACTGCTGCGCCGGTGCCTGGCGGACAGGAAAGGTGAGTGTGCTTGGCCAAGATGGCGCCCACCTGGCAGCTGAGGCTGTGACCACCGGGACCCCGGTGTAGAGCTGCAGGGGCTGGCGACATGCATCCTGCGTGTGCCGTGCCCTGTCCCTCGGTCGGCGTGCGTCCTGCGTGGCCGTGCCCTGTCCCTCGGTCGGCGTGCGTCCTGCGTG